CCGCACAGGGCTTCAGCGTACAGCCCCGGTAGAAACCCGGGGTTTCTGTCCATTCTCTCCGTACTTGTCTTTCATCCAGCCACCACCCCACCCCTATTCGTTTTTACTGCTCCCTCTCCTGCCCCACCCCTCATGCAGATCCATTCATCCACACCCCCAGACCGAGCCCTGCTCACCTCGGTTCTGCAACTGCTCCAGGCGTAGAGCTCCTCTGCGGCTCACAGAGTCCCCGCACTGACTGGAGGGAAGGGGTGCGGCGGTAGGACAACCCGCCCACGCTGCGCAGCCGCGCCCCTTCACGCATGGGCGGGGCGGGGCTCAGACCCAGCCCCCTGCGCTTGACGTCTTGCCCGTGTCACCCACCTAGGCCTGTCTCTGTTTTTGGTATGTTCTAAGGTTTTTCGTCCTTAGAGATCCGAAAGTCATGGCCCTGGTTTCTGTGGAACCACCCTACCTATTCTGGACAGAGCTGCATCCCTGGCTGGTATACGCAAGAACAGAACCACAAGGTTGGATAGGACGGCAGGTTCTGGTATAACATCGTTTCATTCTTCCTTTTTTATAGGGTTGAGAAAATTGATTCCAGGCAGGTCCACTGTGTGCAGCTTGCAAGTTCTTCCCTTTGGGTTTTCTCCTGGATTGTTTTCCTCCAACAGCCCAAAGACATGCAGGTGAGGTGAGTTGGTGTCTAACTGCCTGAGTGGTTGTGGGGATGAGTGGGTCCTGCAATGGAAGGGCCGCCTGCCCAGCGTTGGCTTCCACTTTGAGCTGCCCAGATAGGCTCCTATCACACACAACCCTTAACTGCTATGATTCATTCCTTAAATGTGTGTATAGCTCATTTCAGTGTTTAATATTAGAAGCATTTGATGGGTTTTTTTACTTGATTTTGTTTTAGAGAGAGATAAAGGGAAAGTTAGGGAAATATCAGTGTGAGAGAGACATATCAATTGGTTGCTTTCCATACATGTCCCAACTGGGATCAAACCAGCAACCTAGATATGTGCCCTGACCGGGAATCTAACCTGCAACCTTCCAGTGCATAGGATGATGCTCCAACCAACCAAGCCACACCCACAACCAACCAAGCCACACCCACCCTGCCTGGTGATATTTTTGTGACCAGAAATATCACAAAATATAACTCTTGTCTATATCAATTAACATATGGCAAAATTTTGTCACGGTATCCAAGAATCGATGGATGACATTCAGTGAGGATATACTATAATTTATTGAGAGCCTCCCCTCCCCGCCCTGGCAGTCTCTGGGTCACTTTTTCCGCTTGTAGATCTTCTGTGCTAGCCTCAGGAAGATGGCTTGGGGCAGGGGCGAAGAGTACTGCTCGATGAGACCCAGAAGGCGGCTGTAACTGTCTTCCTCATATTGCATAAACACGGCCTGCAGATTCAGCTCCTCGTAGAGTGCCTTCACCCGGGCCACCTTCTCAGCTTCTTTCTGCCCATAATTCTCCTAGAAGGGGGTGGAGGCAGGAAAACAGGCTTACTCTCCCCCTAGTGCTTCCATGTCCCCTCCATGCCCCCTCCACGCCCCTCATCCATATATTCAGAACATCTCCAATGCCATTCACTTGATTCCTGCCTCCAATTCAAGTGTCTTTGAGTGTCTAAGATTGTCTAATATGTTCAATTTTCCCCTCCCCACTCCGAATGCTCAGATATTAGCTCAGCCCTCAGCTTCCTCTGTCGCAGGGTATCTCAGCTTTGGCTCTGTTAAAATTTGGAGCCACATAATTCTTTGTTATGGAAACTGTTGCGTGCTTTGTAAGATGTATGGAAGCATTCCTGGCCTCTACCCACTAGAGAGAGACCTTAGCACATGCACACACACCAAGTCAACAAAAAATGTCTGCTGCTACTGCCAAATGTCCCCTGGGGTACAAAACTGCCCCCACGTAGTTAAGAACCCCTGCCTTATCCCCTTTTTATCAGCTCAGGGACCCACAACCCTCTCTTGGGCACCTGCAGGATCTGGCGCTGTTCCGGCGAGGCCCGTTGCAGACACTGTACCACCAGCCAGCTGCATTTGTTGTCCTGGATGTCGGTGCCAATCTTGCCCGTCACACTGGAGTCCCCAAAGAGATCAAGGTAATCATCCTGGGCAGGGGAGCAGAAAAGGAGAATGAAGATGCTCCGAGGCAGGGAAGGAGGGGCGTTGGAGCCTGCTCTCTGCCAGTGCCTCCTGCCTTCCTACCTGGATCTGAAAGAGCTCTCCCATCTCCAGCAGGATCTTCTTGGCATTGGCGTGTTCCTTCTCCCCGTCAATGCCTGCCTGTAGTGGAAAGGGGATTGACAGGCGAGACATCAGGGCGCCTTCATCTTCCTGACCCACAGGGTCTTGCCCAAGGTTAGCCCCTAAAACTTCTCTGCTCTCCTTTCAGACATCCCTGGCTTCCCTGGTCTAGGAAGTCCTGGCTGGTGGTCCAATCTCTATCTCACTTAATTTTAGCTAGGCCTTCCTGCAGGCAGAAATTAATCCATTCTGGAGGCCCTCAGACCATCTCTTATTTCATGAGGCTCAGTCCAGGAGTCACTGATTCTTCTTCATAATCTTTTTTTTTTTAATATATATATATTTTTTATTTCAGAGAGGAAGGAAGAGGGAGAGAGAGAAAGAAACATCAATGATGAGAGAGAATCATTGATCGGCTGCCTCCTGCACACCCCCTACTGGGGATCGAGCCCACAACCCAGGCATGTGCCCTTGACCGGAATTGAACCCAGGACCCTTTAGTGCGCAGGCCGATGCTCTATCCCCTGAGCCAAACCAGCTAGGGCTCTTCTTCATAATCTTTTTGCCATTTCCAACTGCATTCAGGATGAAAAGGAAACTTGGAGAAGCAGGTTCAGGGTGCCAGTCAGTCCCACTCACTGCCTGAAAATCCAGTCTCTTCAGCCTGATCATCTCCTCCCCACTCCCATCCATACTCAGATGGAAGATTTCTTGTTCCTCTATGGTGGACTACCCACTTTCACTTGTCTCACCTAATTTCTACAACAATCCTGTGAGGTGGGGATTTTATCCTCATCTTACAGCTGAAGAAACAGAATCAGGGAGAATATGTAACTTGCTCAAGGTTGCACAGCCATTAAGTGGGGGCATCAGATTGTATAAAAGCTAACATTGGTGGGTAGCGGGGGTGTGCGGAGGCTCACTCACCATATACATGGCAGCAGCTACAGGAAGGTAGAAGGAGTAGAAAGCCGTCTTATACTTGACAATAGATTTGTACCTAAGTAGGGAGAGAAGATCAATTCCTCAAAAAGGCAATGCCCACCCGGAGCCCTCCCTCACTGTTCAGGTCTGGTTCCCACTGTCCCTCACCTCTTTTCAGTGAATCTGCCAAGATCCACGTTGCTCTGCGGGGCTGTGATGAGGTCCAGGGTCTGTCCAATCTCAGTCTGATAGGAAGTCTAAGGCAGAAGATGGGCCATGAGATGGGCTTTCTCCAGGACTGGGGAACCCAGAAATCCTGGGCCCCACATCCCATACCAGCCAACAACTAGGCAGAGTCAGAAAGGCAGCAAGAGGGAGGGAGGGTACCAAGTCTCAAGGCCCACATTCTCACACACACAGACACACACTGTCCTTTATCCCTCCTTCCCATCACACAGGGACAGGGAACCCTTCTTGCCTTTAATACCATCCCTCCCAACTCCCTCGCTTTCTTCCTCTTCCATGAAAACCTAGGTGTTCCCTATGCCCTGAGACCAGCTAGATGAAAATGTCCTGTGGAGGCCAAGCTACTGCAGGCAGCCTCTGGGCATTGGGCCTGGTCTGCAGCACACCTGCAGGAAGAGTTCCATCAGGTTCAGGTAATAGGGCTGCTCCCGGCAGTAGAGCTTCAGCAGGCGGTAGATACAGGCTTCCAGGAGCATAGCATCATTCACGGCATCCAAACCAATGCCTGGCTGTCAGGGGACAGAAAACAAGCAATCAGTCTCTGGCCTAGACTCATACCAAGATCCTGTCACTCTGAACACCTCAATAGGCTCTATGTAACCGCCCCCCTGTGGCCTGTTTCCATGCCCACTGCGACTTTCCCGTGAGTCTACTTTACCTTCTGATACCAGCAGATCTGCCCCCGTCGGGTGAGGGATGAGTCCATAATGTCGTCTGCCACCAGGAAGAAAGCTTGGAGCTAGGAGAAGAGGGAAGAGTGGAATAAGACCCCCGGGCTCCTTATTACTGTCCCTTCCACCAGCAACAGAGCTGCCATTGAGAGTCACTACGAGCGGAGAAGGAAAGTCAGGATGGGAGGCCCAGGACTTGTTCTCTTCTATGGGGTCAGGCTACACATTCTGGTTCCCTAATACAGCTTTCCGAGGCATGGCTTTTAAATCTTCACGTCATACTGATCTGTATGTGCTCTCGTGGGTAACACTGTCCACCGGCCTAGGGTAGGCCGTGCACAAAAGGCCATGCGATCGCTGCTCTTGGTCCAGGCAAGTCCTTGGGGAAAGGCATCAATCTGCACCTTCACCTCTGACCTCACCCGGGGTGGGTCTGAGCTTTCCACACTGGAGGCACATATATTTTTTTAAAATATATTTTATTGATTTTTTACAGAGAGGAAGGGAGAGGGATAGAAAGTTAAAAACATCGATCAGCTGCCTCCTGCACACCTCCCACTGGGGATGTGCCCGCAACCAAGGTACATGCCCTTGACCGGAATCGAACCTGGGACCTTTCAGTCCACAGGCCGAAGCTCTATCCGCTGAGCCAAACCGGTTAGGGCCGGAGGCACATATTTTATTTACATTGTGTTTATTTGGAGTGGCAGGGTTCCCCTGAAGCCACCAGTCCACTGCCTCTCCCAAGCACGAGTGCAGGGCCACCTGGTTTCAACCAGTACCATTCAACCAGGGTTGTCCACAAAGGGCATTTACAGTGTGGCCTCCCTCAATCACCTCTGCCCCCAGCAATGATTCTGAACCAACTGCACTTTCTATTTATTAGGGGAACTTTAAAAAATACCAGTGCCAGCCCTAACCTGTGTGGCTCGTGGTTAGAGTGTCAGTCTGCATACTGAAGGGTCATCAGTTTGATTCCAGGTCAAGGTCATGTACCTGGGTTGCAGGTTCGATCCCCGGTCTGGTTGGGTCAAGTTAGGAGGCAACCAATCAATATCTCTCTCTCACATCTCTCTCTCTCTCTCTCTCTCTCTCTCTCTCTCTCTCTCTCTCTCTTCCCCCTCCCTCCCTCTCTCCCTCCCATTGTCTCTAAAAATCAATGGGAAAATATCCTCAGTGAGGATTAACAACAACAACAAAAATACCAGTGCCAGCCCTAACTGGTGTGGCTCAGTTGGTTGGGCATTATCCCATGAACCAAAAGGTTGCTGGTTGGAGTCCCAGTCAGGGCACATGCCCTGAGAGGGCGTTAGGCTAGATCCCCAGTAGGGGGCATGCAGGAGGCAGCCAATCGATGTTTCACTTTCACATGATGTTACTCTCTCCCTCTCCCTTCCTCTCTCTCTAAAAATCAATTTTAAAAATTACTTAAAAATAATAATAATAATAACAACAATGCCAGAGTCCTACCCCAGATCAATTAAATAAGAAATCTATAGGGGTGGTACCTCAGCATTGGGTTTGTTGTTTTTTTAAAAATAGTCTTCCCAGGTATGTGCTTATAGTGGGAAGTAATGGGAAATATACCACATTACCTATGTAGCATTCTTAGCAAATGTTTAGCCTGATTGTAATCATGATGAAATAATCAGACAAATCCAGACTAGATTGTGAGCCACTCTACCAAACAACTAACCTCCCACACGCACCCCAACCGGGGCCAGGGATCAAGCTTGCAACCCAGGTATATGCCCTTGACCAGAATCGAACCCAAGACCCTTCAGTCCATGGGCCAATGCTCTAACCATTAAGCAAATGGACTAGGACTAGAAATTTGGGTTCTTATGTGAATCTTCTTCTTTGTTAAATTTAGAGCACTTATTTCTAAAACATTTTCAAAAACTATCTGTGAGCTGCCAGTTTTCGATTTCTGCTTTAGAATAATCTTCTGGAAGAACCATGGCACTTTACTCAGAGAATATAGGCCCAGTTCGAAGGCCCTGGCCCACAGGGGGTCTTCAAGTGAAATATGTACCTACTGACAAAAGTCCCCCACATGTGTTCATCTGTGGACTAATTCACTGTCTAAATTTGGCTGTGGCACACTAGAGGCCTAGAAGCACAAACAGCCAAGGAACGAGTTCCAGGCCCAACCCTCCTGTTCTCACCAAGGCACCCCCACATGTAGTAAACCTCTTTTCCTCCTCCCCTCCCCCACCCTTCTCACCAGTTCCACACACCAGCCCACAGTCATGGCCCGCTGGAGACTATCAGCATCCTGCTTGCTCGGTTCCACCAGGTCCTGGAAAGTTATCAGCACCGTCATCCCCCGTTGGTACTTCCCTCCGATGACATTGTACTCCAGGACCTGGGGGGCAACAGAGGGACAGAGTAGCAGGATCCGAGGAGCAGCTACTCTGAGATTTCTTCTCACCCTCTCCTACTTCCAACCATGACCTAACTTTAAATCCTCCTTAACCCTGGCTGGCATGCCCAGGTCTCAACTTCTCAAGTCCCAGCCCCATCCCGCCTCTCCTAACTTCCTCTCACAACCCATCCCCCCTTTCCCGGCCACTTTCTCCCACCCACAACTCAACCTATCTGCACACGAAGAGCCTCTCACTGTACTGAAGACAAGCTCCCACCCCTCAAAGTTGGTCAGAGGAGAGCTTGGAGAGGACCCAGGTTGGGGGAGCCGTCCCCCACTCTGGCAATGGTGTCTCTTCCTGCTCATTTTGCCTTCTGTTATCCTGCTGGCAACCAGATCTAATTCAATGGAAAGACTTCCCTTTTAATGTCCATCCCAGTGTAGACAAACCTCCTCCTTTTCCTTGGTTCCCCTCAGACAAATGAGACAGCATTTAGAAAAGAATTACTAGAAACTCCAAAAGAATAAAAGAATTAGGTAACTTAAGTATCCCAGCAATAGTTCCTGTCCCAGAGCAGAGGTTTCTGATGATAGGCTAGCTTCACTCCAGCCCACCTCAGACTGCCTTCCTCCGGGAT